CGGGTTAGGTTTAGGGTTAGATTTAGGGTTAGGTTACGGGTTAGGTTTAGGGTTAGGTTTGGGGGGTTAGGGTTTCGCTTTATTTTTACATTTATCGATCACAGCGCGATGTTTTCGTCGCGCTGTGATGTCACGTACGCGCTTTTGTCGAGCGCGCTTTTGTCTACCGCGGTTTTGTGGTGGAACCCTCTTACACAAGAATAGATGCTATGTGTCTTTTAACTGCCTGACAACAAGAACAAACATTAATCTGCAGGCCAAGATCTTATGTAGGCTTATTTATAACATCAAATCCAAACTTAATTTTCAACTGCAATCAAATTAATTGTAGTTAGGAGTTTATCAGCCATGTTGATATATAAGTCTGTGCAAGGACAAGGGTGGGGTAATGGGCAATCATGCTCAGCAGGAAGGAAGTAAGGAGAGAGGGCATATAATTTTGTGACCTACTCCTGATTATATAAATAAGTTGCTTCTTTCATGTGCAACACCCTTCTGGTGATTTCCTTTTCGGATGAGGATTATTTAACTCTGACTTTCAAGGCTTAGATTAAACTTGTTACCACCGTCCTGATATAACCATAGCTTTGATAACGCATTTCCTCTAATATTTAACACGCTTCTGTGGTGTTATTAGCATTTAATATCAAATTGGTTCTGTCCCTACATATAAGCATACCTGGCGGCTGATTCCTCAAAATGCAGTCAATTTCGTCATAAAATCTCATCTTCCTGCTTGCATTACCAATCTGATTGTTTTCTTTCTGCACCGCTCGATACTCATATTTTAAGTTCTTGTATTTTGTACGACACTGTTTCCAGTCTCTGTCTATTCCAACTTTCATTAGCCTTCTAGCAATCTCCTCAAATATTTCTTTATTCCTCGTTGCTCCTTCAAGCATTTGTTGTATTTCCTCATCTGACCATATATTTATTAGAGCTCTGACTTCATTGTCGCACCAATGCTTTCCTGCTCCTGTGTCATTGACGGTAATAACTCTAAAGTGGTTTTGGGCTTCATCCAAGGTCATCTGAATGTCTGAAGATACAAAATGGAACAAAGGTATTTCACAAATTAAAAACAGATGTTGCATTTCCCCTCATAAAAAAGATTCAATGAGTATTTAACTAGGCAAACACCTAAACCAAAATGGAATATTATATAAAGAAATTAGGGCTGTGTACCACTTCAGATACTCCCATCTAGAACCACAATTCATAAAATATTTTTCTGAATCTTCTTCTCCCATTGTTGATCAGAAGTAAAGAAAAAGCTTACCTGTCCCAGGTGCCTGTTTATACACTGAGAATCCGCATGTATCCTCTGAAATTGTGCTGACTGAATCATCATCTGTCAAAACAACCCAATTGTTCATTATCATGTTGCATGTCTTCCAAATTTACCTCTAATTAATAATTAAATTTACTAAAGTTGAAGCAATATAGAAAACTGCTCCTCCCATTGCTGTGTTCTTTAACGCTGCACCTTCATATGAGGTGTTTCTTGGCATGTAGACTTCAACTGCCTTGGGCCTTTGTAATTTGGTGGTAATATAAACCTAATAAATTAATATTTATGCTGAGATAGTTGAGAAGAGTATTTGTATTTGTATTTGGTTTATTTGTATGCCTCCCTTCTCCAGGAGGGACTCAGCGCGGCGAACAACTCAAAGGGGAAAGGGAACATAACCAACAGTACAAATAATTAAAATCCACGAAAATCACACAGCCATCCCAGTCGAGAGGGG